AATTTTCTCACTGAGAAATGCCCAAACGTTTGTTTGTCATGAGCGAGAAAACGTTTTGTCGTTAGCCTGTGAGTGTAGGCCTACTTTAGCCTACATGAATAAAAGTAGACCTTTTACAGTTTTAAAAGATGATATCTTATCTGTATGACCAACAATTACGCAGTAAGTTCTTTTAGCTGTTATGAGAAAAATAAATTCAAATGAACGCGCCGCCGCGTTTGTCAAACTCTAATTCAACATGCCAGAATAAAGCCAGATTTTAGAATAATGCATAGCCACTCGGCGTGGTGTGCCAAAATACCCTAATTATAAACTTCAATATTTCATTCAAAACCATCTCAAAACGCTTTGTGACATTTTAAAAAGCCGTGAATGTATTAAGGCCACTGGAACCCGGATCGTAACTGCAACGCGCTGCATGTCTCAATACAGGAGCAGAAGCGCTGGTTCAGATTGTATTGTTTGTTGTTTAAACGTGCATGTTGCATATTTAAAAATATTTGTTTAAAAATAAATGTTTGTTGTAGGCTTATTTGCAAATTACCATAACTTGTAGAATTTCATCCTTACTGTTAATTGACAGTAGCCCCACTTACGTTTTGATAAATGTCCCTTTGCGCCACCTGGCGGTCATTTCGCGAACGACTTTGAAATGCGACTGGTTTATTTTTATTGTATTGGTCTACTTTAAAAAATAATACTTTATAAGACATTTATGGAAAAAGACTATTTTCTTTTCAAGATTCTGTAGAATGGCCCATATAGCATTTGACTAGAATTTGTTTCCAGGTATGACTAAAAATGTGCTTTTGGCTTTCATTTATATTTTGATTGTTTGTATATATATATATATATATATATATATATATATATATATATATATATATATATATATATATATATATATATATGTGTGTGTGTGTGTGTGTGTGTATATATATATATATATATATATATATATTTAGGCTATATATATACAAGAAAGAATGCAATGACAATATATATATATATATATATATATATATTGTCCTTGCATTATTTCTTGTGTGACACCCCTGAATGAAAGGCTCATTATTATGTAGGGTCACTGTCTGAGAACCACTTAATATTCATGATAGGGGTTGGGCCGTTCCGCCCATCTGCATATTGCCTTGGCAAACAAAAAAATGTTTTTCACAATTTAAAACAATCTATTGGTTTATGTGAATGATTAGGAAGGATGATTTTCAGATCATTTTGAAGCCAGAACTCGAAGCGTCAACATCCATTTGTCAAAAGTCTTGTGGACACATATTTAGTATTTGTTTTGTGGTCTTATTTCAGCAGCTTTCATTTTAATTTTTTTCAATAACCACGCATAAACAATATTCTCTTAAAAATACAAACAATGTACATACAAGTTGCTCACAGATTATGGTAGCCCTGTTTGTGCTATATAGAGTGAATTTACACCTTTGCCATTAACATGTTTATAAATAACTGAAAAAAGCACAAATGTAAGGGCATCACAGAACATCCAAATGGCCCCAAAAACACCTCAGACCCCAGAGGGTTAAGACAAATAAAATTGGCCCATTTTTTTATTATTTGTTTTTGCCCAGGAGTTTTGTACAATCATACTGCAGTTTTACTGCAGTTAATTTCTGTAACGGAGAGATTAAGCATCAAAGAACTGCAACTGACGTGACTTGACGTCAACGTGTCTTGTGATGAATACATGTGGAGGGTCTGATAATAGAAAGAACTTTAGCAGATGTGAAGTGGGTGATGCGCTTTAGTGAACCTCTATGTTTTATAAAGAACGATAGACTCATTCAGAGTTACAAGCTAAAAGCACAGCTGTGAGATAAATGTGAGATTCGGTGACTTAAAAGACAGTTTTCCTTATCAGATGTTGACTTTAAAAGACACCTCAGACCTCCCTCAGGTAACAGGAAGTAAATGAGACTAGCAGGAGCAGATGAAAAAGAAATCTAACAATATGTGGCTGACCCGAGATGGTCTGTAATGGACCGGACCACAGCTAAAAAGGGGTTGCCCATGGTAATTCCCCACTGGTGTGTAATGAACAGTGCAGTCTATTGATGGGAGTTTTCTAATCACTGAACACAGGCAACAGTGCAGGATGCTGTCATAGCAATTTATCCTGGAAATGCTAGACTGACATGTTCAGAATGGGTTTTTGCAGACCTCTGGTTCACCTGCTCCCTACTGACAAACATTCACAGACATGCACAAAAACATTCAAATGGTTCTGAAAGATCTAAGATCTAGCTCTCTACCCTGCCTTCATGGATCACTGAAACACAGAAGTGCAGTCCAGTCTTCTCATTTCCTGTTGAGCGACCTTAAACCTCTACACAAACAGGAAGTAGTGTCTCAGTCATTAACATGCTTGTCTTGTCAAGAGGTTCCAGGGGTGCCTTGATTGATTTGCTGCTCAACGGGCAATGTTGAGGTTGGGTTATGGCTCCTAAACACACAATCTCCTCCTCACACATTACAGAATAAGACCCAAGTGAAGCATCAGGTCAGATAGGACATATAGCCTAATGTGTTAAAGCCATTTGTGTGAATGGGGAAAAAAAAAGTTATTTTCTCTGTTCAAATAAATGGCCAGATTTTACATTACAACCACGATATATGGAAGTAAAATGTATAAATGCAGTGTATGGTAAAAATGTAAGATAATACATATACTTTTAGAGCAGAACATTGTTAAAACGTTTTTTTTTTTTTTGTAGTAAAAATTTTGGTAAAAAAACAGCATCAGTTATTTTCTGTCATCTGTTGGCTGCGTTACATTATATGATCACACTCATATTTATGCAAATGCTTTTAAACCATTCAAGTGCGACAAAAGAGAACGTGCTGTCTGTGAATATCCTCCTGACACACACACAATGCACAGAAAGATGGACGCCAGTATCGTGCTCACAGACAACGCGACAGAATCGAGTTCTCTTTCATGCTCGAACAAACAACAACATACACAAATGCCAAACTGTCCGTTTTGTCAAGTATCCTCATAAGAGCAGTCTTAAATGAACGTAAAGAGTTGTGAGAAAATGGGAGGTGTGTGAGATGTGCAGCAGCGGCAGGTATAAAAGTGACAGAAGCCACTAATTCTGTCATTATTGTTAATCAAAGAAACAAAGGTAACAGGGAAAATTACTCACTTTAAGGTTAAGGTTACTTTATTGTCCCCGAGGGGCAATTATTTGTACAGCCAGCAGATAAACACAAGGCACAACACACAACACTACCACAAGGTATAAAACGCACATAATCTCTAAAAATACATCGAAAAATAAGTTAGTTATTAAGTACATTAAAACAGTTCTGGCAATTTGTTTAATATCGAGATCGAAGTCGGGATAAGAGAGTTTCTGTATCTATTTGACCTGCATCTGGGCATGGAGTACCTACGGCCTTTTGTAGCTTTAATAAGGATTAATCTATATTTATTATATTTATAATATATATATTTAACTTCTGTATATTTCCTACCTGTTAGACAGGAAGGGCACAGGTAAATATGCCATTTATTATGGGTTTATGTGAGGATTGTTTTAACGCCACTTAAATTAAAAGTTGTCATATTTTTTGAAGCCTAATTAATGTTAAAAAAAATAACATTATTTTTACGAGAGTGATACGACGCATGCGCGAGAACTGAGAAGATGACGCTCTCGATCATTTGATGGGAAAGTGTGAAAGGTAAGCCATTCATTTTGCGGCATTGGTAAGGCACTTTTACGTTTACTCGTTGGTTTCTCACGATTGGGACATCCAGGGAATGCACACTTTAGAACCATTTTAAACACTACATCGAGACCCATCTGTGTCATCTTCTCAGTTCTCGCGCATGCGTCGTGGCGCTCTCGTGAACTCACGTCAAAGGCCCACACGGAAGAAAATGAATAGTTGAATAAAGTCGTTATTTTGGGGATTTTTTGCACACAAAAAGTATTCTCGTCAATTGATAAACTCAAGGTTGAGCTACTGTAGTCACTTTGACTATTTTAACTATGTTTTTAGTAACTTTTCTGGACCGGCAGAATGAAATTGCCTAGAAGCCTATGAAGGAGTGATCACACTCTCAGATTTAATCAAAAATATCTTAATTTGTGTTCTGAAGATGAACGAAAGTCTTACGGGGTTGGAACAACATGAGGGTGAGTAATTACTGACAGAATTTTCATTTTTGGGTGAACTAACCCTTTAACACTATGTCTGGACTATGTAATGGACTAAACAGTTATGAATTGTAAAATATACAAGCATCTAAATGCCTCCAGTAAGGCCTGAAACACTGTATTTTTACAGTGAATGCCTGGCAAATAAGCTGTCAGTTTTTTACCGTAAAGAACAAAGTTTGTTTTACAGTGTACACTTGTTTGGAGAGAATTGGATGAACGGCTATCACTTCACAAACAAATGTAGTTAGATATACGGCCTGTGAAAACTGTCATTGCCGTGAAACCAAGGCAACTGGGGGGTTGACAGACGACTGCTGTTGATTATAGAACGAGGAGGAGCTGAACTTCAATGTGGCGTCAGGAGACTCCATTTTAATGAGAGGGCAAGAAAACGTATCTGTAGTCACAAAAGAAGGGGGAAGGAGAAAGACGTATAGAGAGAGAGAGAGAGAGAGAGAGAGAGAGAGAGAGAGAGAGAGAGAGAGAGAGAGAGAGAGAGAGAGAGAGAGAGAGAGAGAGAGAGAGAGAGAGAGAAAAGGAAAGACGCTCCATGTGGGGTGGGGAACCATCTGGACCGGTCTTGACCTGAGAACTGACATGGCCCTATCATTATTGGTTACTTAGACGTATTCCAGACACATCTCATGTCACAACTGTGATGAAAGCTCCCTCGCTCATTGACCTCACACAAACACTGTTGACATTGTTGAGAATTAGTCATTTGGTCAGGGAAAAGCTGCATAAATTATCGATGACAGACACGCAGACTGCACCCTTTCGCCGTCATTTCCCACTTACCTTTGTACAGTTTGGCTCCCTCGACTACTGTAGGAAGGAAATTACTGGGAGTCATCTTCCATCCCTTCTCTTCTTCCTGCAAAACAGACAGTTAGTATCAAGGTGGGCCCTTCATAAGCACAGCATCACTGTTTTCCTGTAAATGAACTTCTCTGAAAGTTCTCTGAAATAATGAAAGTCAAGTTATGGATAAATCAGCCAAGACTGAGATTCCACACGTGTGATCAAAGCTCTTCCCAGGGCGATGTGCTTGCATGCTGCTCTGGTGCGGGGTCAGTCTCATTTTAATGATGTGAATACACAGCAGGGGCTGAACGCGATGCTGCGAGTATGATTTACGGCGCCTCCTGTTTTCCTTTCTCTCAACTAGGGGTCGCACATTAAAAGTAAATCAACGTCCTCGCATACTCACGCGAATGTTTGGCTTGCTTGTCAGAAGCACACACTCAGACCGCAGAGTGTGTCTGCTCAGGAGCAGAGCTTTTTAAAAGGAATAAGCCAAATGGAGGCTGTATATTTTATTGGCTGTCTTCCTTTAAACACATTTCTCCATTAGCAACTAATGACCCCCAAAAGAGACAGAAATCCATCTGAAAATATGAAAGGCACTTAAGTGCTTGGGAGCAGTGATTTATGATTATTCATGTGGCATTAGACAGAACTTCCAAATGGATCTAGCAGCTCATATCAAAGAACCATGTGACCATAGGTCAGGAGTACAATGAATTCATGCCAGGTTTAATATAATTTAGCTCCAACTGAATTTGTCAGGTAATAAAACATTTGCAACAGCCTATATGGCAAAAATAGATATAATTTCATATATATATATTTAAATATATATATATATATATATATATATATATAGCTTTGCTAATACAGCTTTTAAGATGTAGGCCTACTCACACAAATATATAATTATATGTTTTAGTTACTTATATTTTCTTAATTTTTTTGCCATTTTTTATATATATTTTCAATCTGTATCGTCCAAAATATATACAAAAAAATACATTTTGCTTGCACTCTTTTTCTTAATATAAGAAAATACAAATTTAATATAATATTTTATAAATTTTCTGGTAACACTTTAGAGTAAGTTTCCATTTGTTAAGATTAGTTAACATGAACTAACAATGAAAAATACTTTAACAAAGATTAATAAATTATTATTATTATAATGTTAATTTCAACATTTACTAATAAATTATAAAAACTGAAAGTTGCACCAGTTAATATTTTATGAACCCAAGCTAACATTAACTAACAATGAACAGTTGTATTTGTATACTTTTATTAACTAATGTTAACACATATTAATAAATACAATAACAAATGTTATGGCCACTATTTCATGCATTAACTAATGTTAGCATCTTGAAGTACATTTAGCCTTTTTTTAACAAAATATATATTAAATTTGAATATACTTCCTAAAATATATTTCTTTAAGCTGCACAGTTTACAGCTTATTTGAAATATGTTTTGGCCATGTCGTAAGCATTGGTGGAATACATTAAATATTTACTAATCACAGTTTTATAAACATTCTTTTCTTTGTAAACTATGTATTTGGTGCTTCTTTTTTCTTTAACGAGGAGCCTTTGAGTGGCACTTGGAATAGGCCTAAACTAGGCCAACATAAGAGCTTTGACAAAAATTCCTTAATGAACTATTGAAAGGCTCAGCTTTCACACAGGATGTGAGCATTTGAAAAAGGTCAGATTGGTCTTTCGGCCTCATTGTGAGCTGATATCAGTGGTTTGGCTCTCCAATGAGGATTACAGGTGCTCTCATGAAGGAAAGCCTGAACAAAGGCTCCATTCTAGATCTCCGGAACGCAGCCAATCAGCGTGAGCGGGCATTTTTATCGCTTGACTGGTTCACAGTAATCACTGGTCAGCATATGACGTTCAGAGGTCAAATCACAGAACATAAAACCTCACATGAACCTAAATCACTTTGGACTTCAACATGAGAGACTGCTGTCTGCCACGCCTAAGCTTTAATCATTTGTCAGGTTCAACTCTTTGTTCAAATAAAATGTAGGAACACAGGAAATCAGGATGTCATAGTAGAGAAAGCAGAACCTCTATCTATGTTTAACCAGAGGAAGAGTTCTGAATAGAGAGAGCAAGAGGTTATCAAGGATACAGTGAAATCGCCTTGCTGAAATCACAGCTATTTCCGGAGACTGTGGATGAGTTTAACAAACTAACATCCTCACCATTCATTCCTCATCTTAATCTACCCTGAACAGAACACAGGCAGGGATATTCAGGCACATTTACAATGTGTAATTATGCATGAGAATATGAGTGTACTGAGTATATTAAATGTCTTTTCTTAGATGGAACAATGCAAGTGCTGGTGCGAAATGTCATAATTCTCTCATCTGATACACTTTTTTAACTTAACAGTGAAACTTCAGACCTTCTCACCTAAGGGAAACCTGTCAAATAAAACTCCCTAACACATATGTTGATAGGAATGCTTGTAAACTCACTTTCATCTAACTGCAATGCAAAAACGTGCCTGTAATGGAGATGTCAATGTCTTATTGCATCCTATTCTTGTTACAAGGACAAGGAAACACTAAACGAGAAAGTACAATGAAAAACCAAGTGGTTTTTCTTTAAAATCTGCTCTGTAATCAAATTATCCACGCTCCATGCAGTTCAACCAATGAAGTGTCGTTCACTGTGTGTGGGCCTGACCACAGAGGTCATCGGAGTCACTAGATACTCAAATATGTGCCACATCAGCTGATTTAATTCTGCAGACAGATACTTTGAAAAGCCTTTATTGATTTCTGTGCAACTGTGATACGGTGTTATGAAGGCATGGCCTTACCTCTGTATCTCCTTTCCCCTTTTTTCCTTTCATCTTCCCTTTTTTCTCTTTCTTCTTCTTTTTGCGGTCATTCCCCTTTTTGTCCTTATCTTCTTTCGATTTTTTCTTCTTCTCCCTCTCTTCTTCCTTAGCAGCAAATTCAGCAGCAACCTTTAAAACATTTACTGTATGTAAACATTCTTAAACAAAGATTAATGGAAAAAAATCTTAAAAAAAGAACAGTATCAAGAAGCAGTATACATCTGAAATGAAATAATATTTCTTAGTAATAGTACAGTAATTGAGTCTGTAACTGTAATTCTGGATGGATTGAATGGACTGATAGGATTTATAACCTGCTCTGGTGTCTTCTGAGCAAATATGGAAGCAGATCCTCCATCTTCAGGGCTTGGAAAGTCAGGGAACTTCCCAGTGGCATCTCTGAAACACAAAACAGTGTATATATATATATAAAATGTATTTATTTATTTTCCCTTTATTTAACCAGATAAAACTTTGAGATTAAAAATCTCTTTTACAGAAGTGACCTGGCCAAGATGAGCAGCACAACATTATCAAAAAAGAAAAAAATTATAATAATTAAAAAATAAATAAACAAATAAAAGGAGAAAGAAAATCACCATGACATTAAAACATATCATCAAAACAATTAAAAACAAATATATATATATATATATATAAAACATCCAATGTCTTTTTTAGAAACAGTTGAAATATACATGTAATCATCCAGAATAAAGAGAACAAATATAAAACTGTCTATTGAGAGACTGAGACCTACAAAAACACCTATAACTCATAAACGTATTTCAAATTTCCCTCCCAACTTTTTTTTTTTTCAGAATTCCCTCCCAAAACAAAAAAATATATGTGTGAGAAAACCAATTTTCTTAAAGATTTTTTAAAGATGAGGTAAGGCAGACTTCACGTCTGTGTGAGCATATAGATAAACAAAGCAGATCGCGTGAACAAAGGCAAATCAATCATATTTGAACTGTGAACTTCACACATGGGGAGGATACATTAGCCAGGTCCAGCGCTGACTCTCAGGGGAACTAGGGCAGGTTTAGAATAACAGGGTAAAAGTGTCAGTCAGGGCCCGGCCTGAGCTCTCTGCTCTAGCTAACTTAATCAGTAGCACACAATTGAAACTCACTTCCAATATGGTAGCACACACTGAAAGCTCTACTACTGTAATGCTTCATTGTAGAGTGCATTAGTGCCTGTCAACTTTTTCAGTGGCGTTGATTCTGGAGGTATTTTTTCCATTCGTTTTCCCCATTTGGATTTCATAAAAAGTCTTTATTAAGTTGTTATAAGCCATGAAACCAGCCAACCAGCTACGAGGGGATTCATAGCATTACAAACTTTTATTTGAAGCAAAAAAGTATTTGAAAATCAGAAAAAAAGACAAAAGTACAAGACTTAACGGGTATAGTAAGGGAAAGAACTACAATCCCATGAACCACTACAAATGACATAATCAAATTAAAATGATGGCTAAATTTAAAATTATTAATTTAGAGTTGTTGATTATGCCTATAGGAACTATATTTTAAGTTTATTGCAATATTTAAGTATTTTAACTGCATAGCAAGACTCAATTACATCATTTGTGGTGCTTCTTGGACGTGATTTTCTCTAATTGGTGGATTTGTCTGGGTAATGTAGTTTTTCAACACAAATTCAACTGTAAAACACGATCCTTTTTAAAATAAGTTGAAATAATGCGAACGGATGGCTTCAATAAAATCATATCCGATTGATTCCAAACAACCTCATAACTCAAAGTAGGTCTGTCTTTAAAGGTTATCATTAAAAATCAATTTCCCTATCAAGAAAATTAATTCATATTTTACTTCTGGAACCCGCCTGCTGCACTCTGTTAAGAGGGTGAAACATTTTATAATGGCGAGACGTGTATATGTTTTACAGCAAAGGTCTGGCTGGCTGCTCAAATACTCCACCTTCACTTCAACAGCACATGGAAACCACGCCAACATACTTCACCTTGCGGGTCCTGACCCGGGATCCCATACATCCCTTATACAACAAGCAGGGACCCAGCAAGGTCACTGGAAGGGGCCAGAGAAAGGGGCCGCTAAACGGAGACAAAGCTACTGAACCCCCCCCCCCCCCACCACCACCACATTGTGTTGTCCAACTGAGATGACTTATGACTGTTGTCTCGGCATTAATGGGCAGCAGCATGCATTGGCAGGCCGTAAATCAGGCTGGAATGCACTAATAAGCCCAGTCTCACTCTACACCGTGCACACTTGCAAATATCACATGCATTAGGTAAGCATAAACAGCCCTGGGTAAAAGTGACCATCGCTTTGACTGCTTACATTCCAGCCTCTGCACAAAAGGAAGAGACGAAGGACCAGGAATGTACTTTACAATTAAGAGTGAAATAATGGGTTGAGAGAATGGAGAAAAGCAAGGAAAAGCTCTTGTGAGTTTAGAAGCAAATTAACAGATTATCTAAAGGGGAAGTCTGAGTGGTAGAAGCTTACATAGAGGTGATTAGTTCCAGAGATTCTGCGAAAGTAATTTAGGGAATGCTGAGTAACAAAAAGTCTTTATTTCAAGTGGAAAAATATTATTGCACTATTTCCACAATTTGCCAGTTACTTTTATACCTCTCCATGATAAAGAAATATCTTTAAAAATAAAAAAATCAATTTTAAAACATATGTGCCAAGTTCCTATACATGTATTATTTTTTTATCCATATTGGTTTCATATGATTTTGAAAAACCTTAATACCATTTTCACAAAAAGTTTCAATTTAAAAAAATGTCATGTGGTGTAACCATCAAGTAAAAAGTATTTTCCTTATTGAATACATGTCTGTAAACATCCTAATCATTTTTGTACATATAAATATTTTTCAAGATAGAAAGTATTTTTCATCATCGAGAAGGATTAATCTAATTACTTTTTAGGGGGATTCACACCACATAATGTCAAATTATCTGCCTTTTTAAGAGACTTACTGACAGTAGGGATTTTATAGTCAATTTTGTAGTATTTTTTAAATATTAATATGCAGTTGCTTAATTAAATATTATATTTTTTACTTATAAGAAATAATAATAAAAGATTAAACTACTTAACAATGGGTTCTTTTCAAACTTTAATTCTTTTATAACAAAAGTTTTTTTTTGTGCAGAAATTGAATCATAGATGGATTGTATTTATGAACTGGATTATACATTAATTTCGGAATAAATAGGACAAAAACAAATTGCATCATGTCTTTGACCCACCTATCATCTTTAATGTAATTACATTTTTTAAGCTAAAATGTAATCCAACTTAAACTGGAGATGGTATCTGTAATTTTTGTGTATGGCTTACCGACACTCAATAAACCACTGCCTTATTTGTTCTTGCAGGCTTTCTTTAATATCTGGGCCATCCACACATTGCACTGACTCTTTGATGTTGGCAAGTGCCCTCTGGTACTCAGCCTCATGCTCCTGCTGCATGCCATGCCTCCTACTTGCCAGCTGATGGGCATGCAATTGGGCAGGGGTAGGTGTTGGTTGCTGGGCTGGTATCTGTAATTAGGGCACCAGGAGACAAGAGATGAAAAAACTGACAATGAAGGGTACAAAAAGTTCAGAATGTGGTTTCACCAAAAATAGCAGAAGTTATGTACAAAACATCAAAATTCATGAAGAGACTTGCTTTTCACGAACAGTAAATTCCCAGCTAACAAACATATATTCTAAGAATGTTTTGCTAACGTTCCCATAAAGTTATGAAAACTTTATTTCTGAATGCTCCCTGAATGTTTTTCTTGGTTATACGAATTTTAATAGAACATTCTATCTTATATTTTGCAGATATTTTGGGAACATTACTTTTTAACGTTCTGAAACAAGTAGTAACATTTAAAGGCATAGTTCACCAAAAAAATTAAAATTGTCATAATTTACTTGTTCCAAAACTGAATGAATTTATTTCCTCTGCTGAAAACAAAAGAAGATATTTTGAAGAATGTCGATCACCAAACAGTTGATGGGCCCTATTAACTTCCATTGCATTTTTTCCCCCGTACTATGGAAGTCAATGGTCATCATCTGTTTGGTGACCGACATTCTTCAAATTATCTTATTTTGTGTAAGCAGTAAGAAATTCATTCAGATTTGGAACAACTTTAGGGTGTGTAAATGACAGAATTTTCATTTTTGGGTGGACTATCCCTTTAAGTAATGTTAGACGAACGTCAAACTAAAACGTTTCAGAAAAATAAATGTATAGGCCGGATAACAGACTGGAAGAATGTTTGCCAAAAATCTGAGAACATTCCCTGTTAGCTGAATTTGGCAGAGCAACCTGGTGTTTACCATTCCCAAAAATATCATCTCCTCTAGACACTCCTTTTTGACCCTCGTCCTGTCTCGATACCCCCGCCAAACCTAGAAGATGGAGCGAAAAACACATGATAATAGCAGAAAATATGAAAACCTAAAGCTGAAGACACATACCAGAAATGATGCTATCATAGTCAATTTGAGATCAAGAACATTCATCTGTTCTTGTGTTATCTGGTGAAAACAGTCTACCGTCTTCTTGCATTCACTGTGGACTTTTAGATGAGAAGAATGCACAACAGCAACCGAAATTCTAATCTGACAAACATAATTTCCTCATACAGTTTGTCAGTGAGAATGTGAGGATATTTATATCACCTCAAGATTAAGGCAAATCAATCTCAAGTCTCAGCTTATAGTCCATAAATGCAGACAAGGGTTTTCAATCATTTTCTATATTACTTTTAATGAATCCTCTTTTTTAGTTTGAACAACAATGATGCTAAAACAACAATAGCCAACTGAAGAGAGAGGATTATGTTTCCATGGTTTCAAAGAAATCTACTTTGCTGTGAGCTACAGAATGAGAAAGGATTAGACCTTGCAAGGTGTGAGAGTACAAATTGTAATCACATTCAATGGCATTCAAACACAGTACAGTGCTTGTTGGATAAGCTATTTGAAAATTAATTACCCATTAGCTACATTGTTGTGACTCCTTAGGTGTCATGGGTGGCTGAGTACAAACGCACAACGAACTGTCTTTATTAAATCCAAAGGAGAATAAGGTAAACACAATCACTTTACATCAACAAGAACAAATACCTGAACAGAACAGGGAGTATATATACCAGACTAAGGCCCTGTCCGACAGGGGCTGTCCACACGGACACAGGTATTTTTATAACCGTGACTTTTTTTACGTGGTTCGGCCGTTCGTCCACACGAAAACGCACTGAAACCGAACATTTTTGAAAACCCCTGCCAGGGTGAGGATTTTCAGAAACGCCGGTTACAGTGTTGTCATGTAGACAGTGAAACCGGGGTTTTTGCCTTGCGACGTCAGAGTGTGCGCCGTTATCCTCTGTGTTTGACGTCAGATTTGCGCTTCTGATTGGCCAACGTGGCTTTACGATTAAGGTTTATATTGCCGCCTGCTGGCGTGGCATGCTCTTCACCGCGCTTGATAGCGTGTTTTTGCATTTTCATGTAGACGGAGACCGAGCATGTGTGGACGGGATTTTTTTTTAAACGCTGTAGGAAAAACTCCGGTTATAAAAATACCCGTGTCCGTGTGGACATGGCCTAAACCAGGGAACTAATGAGTTGATTAATCAACAACAGGTGAACTGAATCAAACAGGCACAGACATAGAAATTAGGTCAACTTAGAATGACAGAACCAAACACGAATATAGCTGCAAGCAGCAATTATCGGGGCCAAGCGCAAAGAAGACGATAAGACATGCCAACATGGCTGGGAGTGCCAGTCCAACTGCAACAGCAATTAAAGACATTTAAAGATGATTTTAGGCAAAATGGCTGAAAAAATCATATATACAGTAACTAAAAATATGACCAATAGGTGGCGTAGTTACAAAAGTGAGGTGACAATGACACATTCAAAGTTTGGTGTCAATATGTAAAGGTATTGCAGAGATAAAGCCTGAATAGTCATTTTGGCATCATACCTAAACTTTGCTGCTGTATATGAAAATGGTTTTGTCTATCAATACAAAATCCATAACTTTTAGTCGGCACGATCTAGAGATGATACGATTCGACTTTGGTGAAAATCGGACAAACAGTCTAGGAGGAATTCGAAAAAGTAGGTATTGAATGAAAATCAAGAAGGCGGACAGGAAGTTTGGCCAAATATGGCAAACTTGGCATCTATGTTCTCGACCTGACACAAGAGATCTATTAAGACCAGTTTCATTGCAATAGGCTAATTTATTCAAAATGTATTATCATTTTTGGAAATTTCAATATAACTTTAGACCAAAAGGTGGCGCTGCCCCAAAACATTTTGAGTACTTTCAGGCCATGGTGCTGAAGACACATACCAAGTTTTGTAATGGTACACAAATGCATTTGTAAAGTGTAGCATTTAATATCATGATATTATATTGTAATTAATAGCAATTTCCTTGTTTTGTTCTATTTTAGCACCACCAAGTGGCACAGTTCCACCGCTTTTCTTGTATGTGTTCTCAGAGTGAGCCCACTCATGCGTGTCAAATTTGGTGAAAATATCTAATTTTGTTTTGGAGTTATAGACATTCATATGTATGAGCGCATAAAAAATGACCCACGGGCGACTTTGATTGGATTTTTTTGCAACTTACTATCAAAATTTTTACATTTGAGTATTAGCATATGAACAGCGACCTATGTTTCCGAATTACCTACGGTGGTTTCGCCTCGATCGGACTAACAGTTTTGAAGATATTCGCAAAAAAAAAATATGCGCCAAACCCCAACTTTGCATTAACCGTAAGGCAAAACCTAGCATGTTTGGTATCAATTGACTCAGCAAGGCTTCAGGAATCTAAAGAGATGGAAAATAAGTCGACCACATCCAAACTTATAAGCATGTAAATAATGCTTATGGTGCAATAATGCATTTCCCCACTAGGTGGCGCTGGTCCGAAACTTCTCAGACTCTTTCATGGCATCGTGTCGAAGACCAAAATGTTTTATTTTAGTACATAATTCAAAATGGCATGATGCCCCAAATCTAACGAGACCACTTTTATGATTTTTGGACAAACCGCTTAGAAGTTAGTTAGCAAAAATATTTAATATGTAAATATATACATTTTTGGTATCTCCGGATCAGTAGGTGGCGCTACACCGAAACGCAGCATGCATGTCGCAAGTCATGCTTGTGATGACATGTACCAAGTTTGGTCTGAATACACTAAAGTGTTGCGGAGATACAGCCTTAAGTCTGTTTTCGCAAGCGCTACATACAATTTGTTTGCGCTGTATTCGAGAACCGTTTGACAAATCAACTTGAATTCCATAACTTTTTGTCAGCATGGCCTGCAGTTGATCTGGTTTAATTTTCATGAAAATTGGAGCAACCGCCTAGGATGAGTTCAAAAAAGTCTTTTTTTTCTGAAAATTCTAAATTTCATAACTTTCCTGCAAGCGGTTCTATGGGCTGCCATAGACTTCCAGAGCGGAAGAAGAAGAAACGGAATAATAATAATAATAAGAACGTCAACGATTTCAATAGATACCTACGCACTTTCATTGCTTGGCCCCTAATAATAATAAGAACGCCAACGATTTAAATAGGTGCCAATGCACTTTCAGTGTTTGGCCCCTAATAAACAGAACATAATTCTGACAACAGGGACCCTCGTCTACGTTTTTCTGTACTATTTCACTCAGAAATGTCAGTTTCACACCTGCACTGTAAAGCATTTCAGATCTCTAAAATCATATCTGCAATCTCTTTCAGGCTACATCTATGTCTGGGTTCACCAACCGTAGCGAACACTCGCTCAAAAGGACGTCAGGATACATGAGCTCAGATTTCATGATTAGGATGGCACTGAAAAATAACACCCAAAATCCAGGAATTCTTTCCTTTTCCCATCTCTCAGCACTCCAATGCTAATCTCCCTCCTCCTGCCAAAGGGCCTACAAGCACATCATTCCCACAGATGAGGTGGACATATATCTTTTATGCTTGGATGGGATCACATGTCATTCATAGTCCTTTGTGAGCGGACTACATGTCAAATGTGACAACTGATGAGTGTGAAAGGAGATGGCCTGACCTCTACATTTGAGTTCATGCACAGGTAGGGCAGCAGACATTACCTCCCTTGCGTATGATGCTAGAACATCACAAATCAATCTATATAATGATATATTTACTGATGTAATGTTATGATGTATGTATCATCTTGGGGGCCATAATAGATATTTATTTTATTTCCTTGATAGCCAATTAGCTTACTCTGATGACATCGTGTAGTTTGTGTACTCATAACTTTACTCAAAACAATAATCCTATAACAGTAACCGCATAACTTATTCATGCTGCAGTGCATGCTGAGACAACATTGCTCAATATGAAATTATTGACTACTGTGTGACTAGTTGGGACAACATTTGAGTGAGTTTTATTGATTAAATATGGGTTATGTACAAGTAACTCATATTTCTTAGTATTTGTGACTCGTTTGAGCTGTCTTAACTGAAACTGGCATATCTTAAAATATGCAGTGCCATTGTTTTGTTGTTTTGATGCACACCAATTATGCTTTCTAAGGCACACTTAAACAAAGCTACTTAAATGTCCTAATTGAGCAAGGGCCTAATCCTGGCTACAGAGTTGTTTGTCTTTTGCAGAACACAAATGATATTACAAAGATTGTTTGTTTCAGATATTTTTTTCCATGTTCTCAAAGCCAATGGGATCCAAAACTTCCAAGCTCGAACTAGGACATAAAGCATACAATTAATCCATTCAACCCGACTGGTATATTCCAAATTTTCTGGTTCTAAAGTGATACTCGCTTGGAATAAACTTGGAAAAAACTTGGAATATACCAGTCAAAACATTAATTGCACTCTAGGTTTATGTCCTTTTGGATAAAAACAGCTCTTCAAAATATTTTCTTTTGTGTTCCAGAAGAAGAAAGAAAGCCATACAATTTTGAAACAACATGAAAGTTAGTAAATGATGACAGCATTGTCATATTTGTGTGAACTATTCCTTGAAGTTTGTGCAGTCATTGTCATATAAAAGAAGTAGTAAAATGTATCATTTCACTGCATGAAAGTTTTCCTCATCATTCCTTTGTTTTGCCAATTTCAAACCCATCCATGCAATGCATCGGTGATTTCACTGGAATGCAAACTCACTGTTGAAAATCAAATGATTTCCTGATACCTTCTGAATGCAGGTGGCTGCACAGTCAGGGTCCAATATGCTAGAGCTTGAACTCTGAAGTTTTCTTTGTTCATCCTGCAGAATCGCCTTCATGAAGCGAGCTCTCAGTCTTCCCTGCCGTGCTCGCTCACTGACCTGTAGCAGCCAAATTGCCCGCTCTATAGACATGGACGGAACTGGCACCTGCTAAATGAGAAACCAGAACCACACACATGAAGTGTACACTGCATTTGGTGCAACCATTGAACTTGCATTGCATGTTTTTGTATTGAGAGAATATTTTTACATAATGATATACTCACACTTTTATCTTCCTGACGTCCTCCTTTAGCCAAAATATGGGCCAACATCTTCTCCCTCTCTTTCAGTGCCCTCATCTTCTCCCTCACAAAATAGCGTGGGATAGGCACCTCAAGATCCTCCTAAAAACAAATTTCAAACTATTTTCAGCCCTGAACAGAGCAGGTCATATGTAACTCCAATTAGCATCCACTAAATTCAGAGGAAAAACAAGAGGCTTAGTCTGCTAAAATCCACTTTGACATTGAGCACTTAAATCTTCCCCAAGCCCAAATCTTCAAAATTCCCTCAAGGCCCACTTTTCGAATCTTACAGACCAAAACATTCCCAGCATTCTGTACCTATAAGCGTATTTTATTATTTCACTCACAGGTGTCATTTTGAGGTCCTGCAATATGTCATCAAAGTAGTGAAACTCTGAGAACTCCAGCTCCACCATCTCATTCTTCAGCTCAACAAGTCGCCCCATCACCCCCTCAAGAACCTGGTGCACAACCCGTCTCTTCTGGGGGTGAACAAGCTGATCATAAACCTCCTCCAGGGCACGGAATATCTTCAGGTAGCGCAGATAGAAAGTGGCCAATGTCTGAAAAACCTGCATGCGGTCCTTTTGAGGATGGAGTTGCATTGTGGGATATTCATCCTCCAAAAGGTACTCCAAAGCTCCCTGAGCAGCATCCCACATTCGGCCATAAGAACTGGGTAAAGGAAAAAGATTATATTTAGGTAATAATGATAGCTTAATGAGATAATAGTTCTGCAAATCTTACATTTTAACATATTTCCTTTGTTTTATTAACAGTTTATTTGGATAAAACAAAGATTATATTTTCTCGTGTACTTATTAATGGTGCAGAGCTTTGTATTTATGCATTGAAAAATCAAGGTATTTTTTTCATTTTATTGAAAAGCAGTTCATTTTATTATTTTATTTGCTTTTATAAATGCTGAGTTATATAGTGTTTTCTATATTTTAACATTTCCATGGCCTTCCATGACAACCTGTCTTTGAAATGCAATCAACAGAGACACGTAAATCTGCGATAGTACCAGTTAACGGGCCCCAATTACACCTGTTGAGAGCACCTGCCCTCTGGGAAAGTTTTCCCGACCCTCAGGCCAAAATTAGCACCGCCAATGCCTGACTGTGCAAACTGAATGTGGAAAAACCACAGAATGCACACTGAATTCACCCCAAGTCAGCATATTAAGCCACATAATGGAAGAAATCCCCTGACAAACATTATTTCTCCATTCTTCGTTTTCTAAAGTTGAATACGCATGAATTCCACAGATGTCCTCTGACCTCTTTGACTCCCTTGCGTGTGGGTGCTCCCTTTGTGATTGTTGAAAGAGTTCATGGCGAGGGTGAAACCACCTTCTTTTCTTATTCTGATGGGCCCATACAGTATTGTTCCCCTCTGGGCATTAACACTGCCAAGAGCTACTCAAATTGTAGGGATGGCAAAATCAAAGGAGGGGATGGGATAGTTAGAGCGGGAGGGGGGCAGGGGAGGAGTTGTGGGAGGAGGTTAGAAGGGAGGTTGTAAAAGAACATTTACAATAAAATAGAGAGGCGCCTCTTAGAGATATCTTAAATATGGCAGACAACAAAGGCAGAAGTACTGCAATTCACTTGAAATCTGCAGTAAATAATGAATGTCCCCTGAAAGTAGTGCTTGATGAGGAAAATTACTTGATGTTTTTTTTTTATCAGGAATTAAAAATGTACTTTCGACATGTGCAGAACTACTAAATTAAGTTATTTGCTTTAGAAAAATAATTGTGAAGGTTACTAAAAAAAAACATGCACCACACACCAAAGCTTGGGGACAAAAATACTGGTTCTCAGTAGTTTTGCTTTATGTTGTCATAGGAACTGCAATACAATGTGGACTTTCTCCTAGTAGGCGTTTGTTCCCAAACTTGCGTTTTCAAAGAACACTTTCTTTAGCACCTTCCTTTTTTTTCTTTCTCAGAAGTCTTATCTTATAATATAAGCAAAATATTCTGCTCGTTACAGATGTAACTTAGGCAAGTAGCTTATCTGTTCACTGCGCCAGGCTAGATAACACATAGCCTATTACAGTTTTCACACATTACACGGTTTTCGTTAATAACGCTATGGTATTTTGGCATCACATCAACATTCCCGTTTCGCACTAAAGTGCACAAGGTAAAAAGGGCAGTCATACTCACCTCTGCGACATCTTTAGTGATTCCACGCGCTACAGAGTTTAGTTTAGAACGTGCTGTAGGCTATTTGAATATCAGTGGAAAAACAAAATTGCAAGCCGCCGCTTTCGAAACTAAAATAGTTAAACGAAGCGAAGTAAGGCATCCAAGCAGTAAGTCTTGATTATTCATTAGTTAACCATTTTTAACTAGAGTTGGACGAGTCTCGCGCCAGACAGGCTGCGGTTTGCGCAGAGCTTCTGACAGCTATGGCAACGAGATCAAAGCCTCTTCACTGCTTCTGAGACAGAGCAGGGGGCATTTATGCAACCAGTTAAACGCAGAATACAATACTCTATCAACTTAACTATAACACATAATGCGATTCTAACACATAATGAGAGCTCTAGTCGGTCATTTTCATCGTTTTCTTATCTTATCCGATAAGCATGTCAAGTCTCTGTTACTAACAAGCTTTAGTTTGGCATCCCGCTATGCAAAACAACACAACACCACGCTTGCGTTGCTGAGCTCATTCAATGTATTAATGCTATTCGGCCATTTGTTAACAAAGCTATTTGGAAGAGTCTTTCTGAAGCAGCATGTTTTGAAATATTTGTTGTCATTTTGATTTTGTAAGTAAGCTATATTCATTTGCATGTATCTCTATGACATATTGTTTGAATTCAATAGCCTATGGACCATGTGGGCAGGTGTAAATGCAGACTATGGAAGTGCAGTGTGAAATTTATTTATCAATGAATGGATGCATCATTTGTCCTTGTCTCCCTACCTTCCTGGTGGTCCTGCCATGGATAATAGTTTTTAAAAGAGTGTTGGTTATTTCCCATCTAACAAAAATATGTTCAAGAACGTTTTGCTTAAGTTATGAAAACGTTATTTCAAAGGCCTACGTTTTTCTTTGGCATTTTTCGCGTACAGACGACAACGTTTTTTAAATTATCCCCATTCACCCTCGAAAATGATTAAAATGCTGTATTATGCTGCCAGGTAATTTACTATAAAGAAAAACTACTTGCCTATAGACTGAACACATAATACGCATGACATGACGTCGTCGTTTTCACAAATTTGCGTTTTCGAAGTTTATGCAAGATAACGATATCGTTTTCAAAAACTTGCACTTTAAAACCCATGTTCAAAAGTTTGCGTTTCCAGGCCCCCAAAACCCAGTTGTCGTGTGTAAATGAATGGTCAAAACGCGTAGTTTTTAGTTGAAAACAGTGTGGGTAAACGGCCCCTAAATGTTCTCCGAACGTTCAAAGTGTCAATTTTTTAAATGTTTTTATAAAAAATGTTTTTTTCTTCCATTTGATCATTAAGCAAATATTTTGTGAAAGTTACTTTAGAATGTAGGCTACTCATAGATAGGCTACTTTGGTAAGGCTTGTTAGATAAATGTCCAATTAAAAATGCTCTATGAACAAAATAACATACATTAAAGACCAGATCATTTGAAAAAAATTTTTTTTTACTGCAGAACATTTGTTCATATAGGCCTAGAGAACCATGCTATAGAACGTTAGCCAAAGTTCTGAATCTTCCCTGTTTGCTGGGATGATCCCTTACGCATGATGGGAAGTGAAGAGCTACTTGCAGTTGATAGAAGTTTGTTAATAAAACTGTCAACAATGAGGTTGTCAAGAAATGTTTTGTTTTATAGACACCCCATAAGCATTCTAATCCAAAACCAGTGTTCTTTTGTGAAAACCTCTCCTTTCCAGACACACAAAAAAAAAAAAAAAAACAGACTCAAGTGAAAACTTAATAAGATGGAAAGACCATTTTAACAATCTTTAATTTGGAACATGTCTCAGTTTACCAGCCTACGCCCCTAACTAAAACCAAATGTCTTTCAACTGCTGGATTTCTATGCATGCTTCTCACAAAAAGACCTGATGGTTTCCACGCTGCATGGTCAGAATCTTCAAACAGAGAGCATTGACCTATCGTTATTGAGTCTTGTGTGAAGTTGCTTTTAATGTGGAAACTGTTATGCTCAAAGTTTATTTCCCCATTTCAGGGGTGGCTCCCCAAATGATGTGTATTGTTCAGGCAGGTGTTCCAACTGATTTCATATGTTTACATGCATAAGCAAGCACATTGATCCATCTCCGTCCAAATTATTATCGCAATTAAAAAATAATGCTGGCAAAGTCTTTACACTTTCCGTGTCGTGATTACAGTTGCATTAATCTGGCTTATCTCTTATGCGTATACAATCAAATCCATCACTTCTCTGAACAATTTATCTCATCAAGATTTCATTGATATCGTTAGGCATGCTTAATTTCAGTTTCCACTTTTACAAGCCACATACAATAGGCACTGGCCGTTATCCAGAAAATATAAAGCTAAACAGAGGCCAGCTGAAAATTCGGAACAGGTGAGCTTCCTCATGCCTAAATTTAGCAAACTGCTTGGAAGTCTTTGAGGGATTGCCAAGAGGATGCAAAAAGAATGGAACACTGGAAAAACAACAAAACAACATTCACCTGCTACTACTTACAGCATGGTGCAAGATACATTTTATAAAAAAAAACTTTACCCTGAAGCAACTAAAAATCAAACGTTTAAAATTAAATTAATAGGGCACTAGTCCTTTTACCGGTAATATGATGTAATAAGTGTATTATAATAGTCTAATTTAGTCATTAGCTAACAAACCATAGCTAATGCTTAACAGATCATTCCAATTTGAATATAGGCTATCAGGCTATGATCTATAAGATATTTTAAACTCTTTGAATGGAATGATAAGATAGGAAATGATGTGTTAGCAATATTGTTACAGCATTAATGATAGTTATAAAGTGTTACATTGAATAGTGCAAAGAGTGTTTATATCTTGAGAATATTACATGAAGCACATTTCAGCCCGTGAAACTGTGAAAGTCCACTCCTCAATGAAACTTTCGCATGGATATGCTCCTTTGATTTCTCCAAACAACTCTCGTGCGAAAACAAAACACAAAGGCGTATTTTTATATCGGAACAGTCTTTTTTGTTTATATCGCTGTTTAAAATGGGAGTGGAAATCCGATGTGTCCCACGTCCGCTATTCACATTGTTGTTGGACAGAAACTTTAAGTGATTCACTTTTCCGATAGCGTTCGGTAGGCGTTGCTCGCAGCACTATATCAGCAAGTGCAGTCAGAGCGCAGAGGGACAATCACGCCATCCTCTCGTACGGATAACCACAAGACTTTAACATTTTCTCCAGGCATCGGAATCTCGATACCAAAGGCTACGTTTAAAAGTCTAGGAGCACCAAAACAGACCACAAGGATTGTAAGTTAATTTGTAATGTCTTGTCTGTGTGTGCACGTGATTGTGTGAGAGATTTTAGTTTTGAAATGCAACCTTTTCCATAGCCTACTCGTACCGGACCATGGTAAACTTAAAACTAATGATATAAGGTGTTACAAGATATCAGTGTTAAATGCGGTCTTAAAACCTCAAGTAACTTTCCCTAATTTTACACTTAGAAAGTTAAGGTAGCCTACTTAAAAATATCTCTTTAACAAATTTACCGAGCCCCAAACTCTCAGATGGTGGCGTGGAAATGTCCAATCCCGCGGATTTGTCACTCTAATAGCCTAGGCTACCAACGTGATATCCGATTATATTTAGGCTAATGAATGCTGTTTTAGAATAAATTAATTTAAATGCACATTTTAAGAGTAGGATGCATTATTGTGTGTACAGGGTCAGGTAAAGGGACTCTTTTTTCTCTCTCGTCTCTTTCGAGACTCTTTCGGTCTTTTTTGTTTTCTGGAGCAAGAATCAGTTCCTGTGAATCCATTCATGTAAATACTGAGGTTGTTTGTTGACTGAGGTAGCCTACAGTGAAGTCGCGTATAATTGTTATTATTATTTTTTTTAATTTGGGACCAAAGGTGGTTTTAAATAATGCAGTACTTAAACTGAAACTCTCCCCTTCTGAAAATGTTGACTCAGGCTTCTTACATTATTTGATTTAAATTAACATTATTATGTCTATTTATAAACAGAAACATATTAATATTTATATAAAAACATATTTCTGTTTTTTATTCAGTCCACACTTGGGCTGCTACTCATTATGTTATGTGGGACTAATTTATTTAAATTCCCTTGGTAGAGTTTCCTTCCAGTTTCATGATCAGCATGTTTTCAATTTCAAAGATTTGTTTTACTCCTTGTATTGTTGTTCAATTTTTTACCCCCACTCACATTCAGTACAGTCAAGATTTCATTCTTTTAACCATGACTGATAATTCCCTTATTTCATGCTTGCAAAACACTTTTGAGTGAAACAATACTGAGTTTCAAGGGAACTTCAAGACTTCAAGTGAGAGAGAGAGAGAGAAGGGGAAGGAGGGGGCTGCACGGAGAGTCGCTGTGTCCGCACAGCTAAGTCTTTGTGCGGGCAAGTGTGCTTGATGCCTGGGGCCGGGAGATCAGGTGAGGGGGCCGCTGTGTTTGAGCAGTGTAAACGCAACAGTTTTACAACAAGGCTGGGGGACGTGATGGTGGTGCTTGGGGCCGTCTGTAATGGACCATCACATTTTATGGCACCTGATTTTTTCAATTGCACCTGGTAAATCAGGTCAGAGGTTTACGCTGCCCTCTCTGTCTCTAGTCTAATGATGTCAGAGTGGAAAGCTGTAAAATAAGTCTTTGTTTTGGAGGCGATTGAGGATCTTGCAGTAAGGATCACAGGATGCATTAAGAGCAGCTGTGTCTCTTCTCATATTTCTTTTAATGAAATTAAGGTCAGGCGCTAACCGTGTTCAAGGGTCAGAACCGTGGGTTGATTTGGAATGAAAATAAACAAGCCTAAACTCATTCTATCACTTGATGGTTCTTTAGCTAAACACAACAAGTTTATAGTTGTATCTTTTTTCTTTCTTTTTTTTTACGCCAGGCCAATTGTAAACAGATATTTTGTTTAATATTCTCCATGTTTACTTAATAAATGTGAAAGAGCATAACTGTGTTTATCATTTCTGCTCCACTGCACAAACTTTTAGTTTTAAAAAGCATGCTTAAGTGTGCCAGTGTTTTTTTCTATTCTGCAAACCCTGGGGGTTGAAGATCAAAACAGTGTGATTAGAGATGTGTGTACATCTGTCTTTGAGAATGTGTAAACGGTAAAAACTCTGACACAGCGCCAGTCTGGTGGTTCTCTGTTCTCTTTAGCTTTTGTCAGTTCAAAGCCTGGCATCCAGTCCTCAAGCTGAGCATATCATTTTGAGAAAAGAACCTTTCACCCCTCTGTGTCGCAGAGGGAGCAGCAGCCGCCCATCCTCCCCTCTTTCTATGACTTATCTCACTTCTAACAGGCATTAGTCTTTCTCTGATGCCTTCAGGAGAGTTACACTCTGCTCTCTATCATTGTACTCACTCGTCTGGCCTGTTGGTTGTGCTGAACTTTTTTGTAATGCCTTAATTTGCCATGAATAACTACTTAGCTTTTCACTAGGTCACTGCATGACAACTGAGGTCTGCCAATAACCTTTTGCTCAACCATCTTGAGTATTGCTGCCAGGCATTTAGTCCTTATGTTCAGCAAAGCAGCACAGCACAGCCTTTGAGCACTGAATCACTTTTATTACAGTCAATACAATGAAGTAACACTAAAATAAATTCGGAACAAAACTGCTTCACGGCTCAATGTTATTTGCAAAACCTTTGTCCGCTAAATCAGTCATAGAGAGCGTGGTGCAGCCAATGTGCAGAAACGTGAACGTGTAGATGTTCATGACTGTATGTTTAAGGTCAATACATTTCTTAAACATCAGAACATTTGACCTTTTTAAGACAAGACAAGGGTGGTTCATATTGTACAATGTCATGTGGTGCGACTCCACAAAAATATAATATTTGTGAATAAGATATCCCTAATATTTGAAATAATAAACTTTACATTGAGAATTATATTTAGAAAGGTTTTTGAAAATAGCGATTAAGATGTGTACAATTACATGTATTCAAGGTGAAAGAAAAATTGTATTACTTTTTGCTTGATGGTTACACCACATTACATTTTTAGAGTCATTAAATGGAAAATTTTCATGATTAAGCACATTTCTAAGAATTTGGAACATATTTTAAATATAGATTTTCTTTTTATTAAACGTGGACACCCTTATTTGACTCATTGTCCCTTCCCTCTTTGAGTTTGTGACCATTTAAATTTATTCTTAAATTAAGCGCAGTCCAGTAAGCCTGGGAAATAAACCCATGCACTGAATTATTTTGGGGGAAAAAATCCTCTTAAACAGTACAAGGTCCTGCCCTCTGACAAGGGATCCTGGTGTGTTCGACATGTTTCAGATTATGTGTGTTTTATAAATAAACGTTCTTTGTTTTAAATTTTTCTGTCCCTCTGAGTTTAATTGGTCCCGTTTGTGTTTTTTTTTCTGTCTACGTGTCATAACAGTGGCTCTCTTTTTGTTTCAGGTCACAGCCGTTGTGTCCCAATAGCGGCAATAACAAAGACGTGGCAATATGAGTGTGAACGTGAATGACTTCAATGACATTTTGGATGCACTGGGCGACCTAAACTTCTCAACTCTTGACGATAATGTCTCCCACGTGGAAGTGTGTCACAGCACCTTCAGCCAGAAGGCATTGCTCTACGCCCTCTCTGTGCTCTACATCTTCCTCTTCATCATCGGCCTCGCCGCCAATGCTCTGGTGGTGTGGGTGAACGTGCGATCTGAGCGGAAACGTTACGAGACTCACCTGTATATCCTCAACCTAGCCATCGCTGACCTCTGCGTAGTGGCCACTCTTCCGGTCTCCATTAGTTCTCTGCTTCAACTCGGCCACTGGCCTTTTGGTGATGCCATGTGTAAAATTACACACCTGATCTTCAGTGTCAACCTTTTTAGCAGTATCTTTTTCCTTACATGCATGAGTGTGGACCGCTACCTGTCCGTGAAACTTTTTGGAGACGGTCCCAGTCAGAAGAAGAGAAGGACCAGACAGCTAATCTGTGTGGGCGTTTGGCTGCTGGCACTCTTTGCCGCCCTCCCTGAAACATACTTCCTTCAGGCTGAGAAATCCAGGTATTCAGACAGCATAGTATGTAAGTCTGTTTTCCCAGCAGACACCACTAAGGAGTGGACAGTTGGCATCCAAATGAGTTTCTTCATGCTCGGCTTTGCCATTCCCTTCCCTATAATTGCTGTGTTCTACGTCCTCTTGGCCGGTACCATCCAACCCTCAGCTGACCAGGAACGTCGCATCAGCCGTCGCCTCGTCTTCACCTACATTGTGGTCTTTCTAGTGTGTTGGGTGCCCTACCATGGAGCTCTACTGCTTGACACATTAGCCTTTCTCAACGTGCTGCCCTTCAACTGCACTCTGGAGAATGCTCTCTATGCAGCACTGCATCTCACTCAGTGGTTCTCCCTCCTTCACTGCTGCTTGAACCCCATCATCTACAACTTCATCAACAAGAACTACCGCTACGACCTCATGAAAGCCTTCATCTTCAAGTACTCTACCAAAACTGGCCTCGCTAGGCTCATCGATGCCTCGCACGTGTCTGAGACTGAATACTCCGCTGTGGAGAACCAGGGACCATTATGAACGTTCTATGATGGTGTTGATCAACACCAGCTCTGCAAAGCTCAGAGATAAACAGGGAACAGTCATGTAAATCTCTCTGTACTTTGAGTTCTTGAGGCATAGCACAATTTGAGGTTTTGTAAAATAGTGGAACAACTTTGTACACATATAATTTGCTTAATCTTTATAAACAGATGAATATTTATGCTTTTTGTACATTATTATGACAGTTATAGATGTATTGAGAAAGCACTTGTATTGATTTGATTTGTAAGCATATTAGCCTTGAAAGTCTAGCTAGGCTTTTGTGTCAGTGAAATTGGTGGAAAAGGTCCCTCCCTGTCCTGGAGCCACAGAGAGACTCATATAATCCGTTCTCCACTTATCAGTGGCTTTCGTACATCTGCCGGAAAGACTAAAGATCACATTTTCATACACAATGTGTAATGTACAGTTATGTCTGGTAAAATTGGAGGAGGATGTTGAAAACCCACACATTGTAAATTTCAAGAACAATGCTAGCTGCATTTGTAAATGTTTTGTAAATAAAATTATATTTATATACTCAGTGTGTATGTTCAGTGTTTTGTAATATTGTCTGACATAAAAATGTGCCGTTGAAATAAAAGATATATACATCTTTTGGAATTCTCTTGAATATTTTTGTTTTGTTTGATTACAAATCAACCCATGAGCACTCACTATTTAAGCATTAGCTTAATAATTATTTTATGTCTTGTATCTTTTGAGAACATGTGTTACTTATTTGCAAGATCATTAACATTTTACAACAGTGTTTATTTACACTATTCAATACATTAGATTGATTAACAATAAACCTGTTTACAGCATTTGTTAATTTAGGGTTAATGTTAACTTGATGTTTGTCCATAATACATCAACTAATGTTAATTTATAGAAATTTAAATGTTATAAATGTATTAGTAATACATTTATTACTCATAATGTATTACTGATTTTGAAGAACAAACCTATATTAGGATAATGGATTATTTGAAAATACATAATGCATTAATTAATTTTAATGAATTAAACATTACTAGAAAGTCTTATCAAATCATAATACTAGTTGTAGTTGTATGAATTTCTAAAGTAAACCATATGCATTTATATTTTTTTATTTAATTTAGAACTACATTCAGACCTATACATGATCAAAGTAAAGATGTTGAGTATTTACATCTGACCATATGGCTTATATTGCCATGATGAGCAGACATTACTCAATGAGCCCGTGGGCATGGTTCATATGGGTACGGCTGCGTATATGTGCGGGTGTGTGTACTTAAATCTCCAGGGGGGTCCGGCTCGTTCTACATCTTCAGTGAGTTCAGCTCAGAGAGAAGGGAAGTTTGTTTAATCCATACCAACTGTTTCAGGAGCCCGTTTTCTCTCCTTCGCCTTTGTAGTTCTGAAGAAGTTCCAGGTGTTTGTTTCAAATATAGCCTACCCTGTGTAGTTCCCTGTGACTGGGCTTCTAGACAGTGCAAATTAGAGAAGGCATTATTACTCTTCCCTTGGAAAGTCCTCAGAAAATGACAAGGCTTATTCTCTCCCGTAAAAAAAATGAAGCACCAATTTATGATTTTCACAACAACTTTAATGTTTTGAAAGAAGAGGACCTTAACTTGGGAATCCCCTGCATCAAAATAAATAATGTATCATAACCTGACCTGTTTATGCGCTCAAGTCTGTGATTTGAGCAGTATTGCTTAATACATGTAATGAAAAGACGGAAGGTTCTTGGTGCAGACACATTTTTCTGGTCCAGACATTTCAGAATACCACGTATCTCACTTGGAGGTTTCCACTCTCCAAAATGATCTAGATTTCTAGTGAGTTTTCTTTCACATCCTCCTGGAAGACAGCTGTATTTATACCCAATTGTGATTTCAACATCTGTAAGGATGGATCATGAGAGTGAAGACAGACTACAGGTGCTGGTGTGTGACACTATACAATAAAATTTATGACCTGTCATGGCATCTTCATTTCTGTTAGACTTTGAAGAAATAGATATTTTCTGTGAGGAAAATCAGTTTTTCTCCTGTTGTCAGTGCCACAAAAATGTTTTAATGGCAATTAGTATGACATTAATCTCATAATGCTATGAATTCTTCAAATTTAGAGTTTGTTCTAAAAATAAATCTAAAAATCTTTATGATATTATTGACACTCCTTCCAGACTAACATTTATCAATTGCTTTAAACTTAGGTAAGATAAGGATTCTGTCAAACTCTGTTGCTGTCTGGACTTCAGTTTCTGCTGAGTGATACAGGAGAACACCTCTCCAAAGGTCAGACTAATTGAGAATGTGTATGTTTTTCTGTCAATACTGTGATTTATCACATGGGATATTCCCTGAGCTCCTCTTAATCAAAGAAAGGTGGCAATGGTAACGCTTTGCCATAAAGAATGGCACAAGTGAGAGAGAGAGAGAGAGAGACAGAAAGAGAGAGAGAGAGCGTGATACAGAGAGCCCTGAGAATCAGACAATAGAGTCGCTTTCGGTGGATCAGTTTACAGGTAGAGAGAAAGTGAAGACTGAAAGGTCATTAGCACTCTAAGGTCATTAATAAACCCTGCTGGGAACCACCCTGTGAGAGAAGCTAATGGGCCATTCAACCACTACACTGTGTTTGGCCTGTAACGCTGCACTAACTCTCGCTTCAATCCTATTGTTTGGTAATGAGACCACAAGTTCAATTTCACATGGTTTGTGTGCGGGCCGAGCTTTTTCTGATTGGGCCGAGATGCTGAACCAATCAAAGTTGAGAGACAGGGGGAGATGGAGAGGACAAAATGATCTGGAAGGATGCGGGCAAAAGCGGATATGGAGGTCCACATAATTTTCAGTCCTTGCTGAAAAGAGAAGGGTTGCTTTGGCAGAAGAACAATGATGGGAAGAAATTCATTACAATGAATTATTTTTCTCTGGGCATCAGATACACTTACAGCAACATGCAATAAAGGAGATGACGCACAAGTTCCTTTCCTGGGTTATTTATACAAAATTTGCATGCAACCACAGTATCAGTTACTATGTAGTTTCACTCTGTTTAGGCGTTTTAAATGAGGAACAAGGAAGAATGAACTTTGGAGAACGAGGAGTAAAAAGAAAATGGAATAAAGAGAAATCGAATATGAGACATGAAAAAAGAGCGAGACACTATTCCCCCCTAGGGTTTTTAAGCAGTGGATGTGGAAACAAATGAGAGTCATTTCTCTTCCCCAACAGTTTTAACCTTTGATACAATAATAACTCTCCGCTACACTGATTTCCCCAGTAGAAAAATGTTGATGTCTTGAAAAAGAACATTACAGAAAAGGTGCGGTAACATTTACTATTGCTCAGCGAAGGTTTGCTAGCAAAATACAGTCATTCCAATAAGAATCTGTGCTATCGTGCGTTTGTGTGAGGCAAAAAATGTTCCCCATATAGATTTCCCTCATTTTCAATTTGGCCAAGTAAATTCACCACACTGACCAACAAAAAGCTGCTAGTTTTGAAAGTGACTGCGGTGTGAGCTGTGTTTTATACGTCGCTACGCTATTGACAATTAGACAATGGACCTTTTTTTTTTGCCTGTGAAATGTCACTGAAATTTGTGACCACACCTTAAAGAGGACCTATTATGCCCTTGATTTTGTTTTTGGGGGTCTACTAGAATAGGATTTCATGCTTGAATGTTAAAAAAAGTTTTTTCACATATTGTAGATTATTGCAGCACCTCTTTACCTGACAGTATAGTCTTTCTGTAAATCTCTGTTTAGTTGTAGTCTCTATGAAGCCCCTCCTTTTGAAAAGCACAATGTTCTCTGATTGGTCGGCTGGACCAGTGTCTTGTGATTGGTCTACCATTTCGAGCGTGTTTTTAGAAATGTTACACTTCTTACCATAACCTCAAGTTTCAACACACAACTAATGCAACTCAACCAGGCCTCGTCCCCTTTTTATGCATTGGGTGGGAATTATTTAAATGAAAAATATTGTAACATTTACATTCCCGGAAGAAAACTCAAGACTGCAATCGAGCGTTTTCAGTAGTTCAGAAACAATGCTTACTGATATAGAGATTAACTCCCTTTGTAACTTTGCAGACCCTTTTCATGCTCAACCTTCAACATAACATGCTAAAGAAAGTTGAATATGTACAAAAGCATAATAGGACCCCTTTAAGAAATGTAGAACTCCTGACTTCTGGGTGTTGACATAAGAATATCTTCACACTTTGAATGATTTGCACCAACACGCTTGGCCATGATTCCGACATACTGTCTAATATGCACTGATGATCTCATTTTTGAAAACAGAATACAAATTTGACCCAGCAGCTGAACAGCAACATACAACATGATCAGACATTCATTTATGGTTCATTTATGTCACAATTCTGCACTTAACCATTTCCTGTGAATAACTCAGCATTCACAATGCCAATGAATATAAGCAGCAGGCTTTGAGCACTGAGACTGTTCTCTGAGTATGTGCCTACTGCCTAGATGTATAAAAGGAAAGCGGGGGCTGCTCATGTCGCTGACAGACGTGTGGGTGGAGTCTGAGTTTGAGTGAAGGGCAGGGGCACTGCTGTTGTTATGTGGAGAAAAAGAGTTCACAGGAGACCCGTAGCATGTGGCTCGAGCCTTTGGCAGAAAAAAAAAAAAAACACGGCTGAATTTAAGCATGAGGAAAAGGACTTACTCTGGCCTCCAAGACACGGTGCATTTGTGTTCTGAAAGCTCAAGACATAGTCAGAGATTCTCTGCATGGTTTAAATGCAGCCACGGATTTCATTCATATTGAAATTATCCTATAATGTGTGATACAATGGACAATAAATCCACCGTCGCACACCCAAACAGCCACTCACAACCAAGTATAGGATATGGACAACTAAAAACATAAATGTATATATTTGTGAACTTGAGGGGAACTGAGTTCAATTGTCCTTGAAAAATGACCTTGAGACAAGCAGGTTAAAAATAATTGGAAAAAGTGGCTAAGAAAAATTAGCTCAGTGAAAAGCTCTCATCTTGTTTGCAGATGCCACCTTATATATATAATAATGAACCATACTTTTAAAGCATCTATTATTGTGTTTGTTATTATCTCTTAACATCTTTTAAGAGTTTAAG